CATGTTCGGTCTATATTCTACATTCAGCATCCATCTTGCATCCCAAGCAAATCCTTCAAACATCCTTTATTTGGTGTACCTTTCTCTATCTGAGCTGCCTTCCCCCCCCCCCCCCCCAGCATGTGCTGCTGGCTTCCAAGCCGTGGAGCAGACCTCCTGGTACTTATCTCAGCTATTCTTGGGTGTTAGTCTACCAATTTGTTACTTTATATTCCCCAGAGGACTGCAGTCTTCCTATGTCCGTCCTTCTCTTTCTGGTTTACTTCACTTAGCATGATACTTTCTATGTAGAACCACTTGTATGTAAATTTCATGACTTCATCTTTTCTAACAGCTGCATAGTATTCCATATGTATATGTACCAAAGTTTCTTTAACCAGACATCTGTTCTTGGGCACTCGTGTTTTTTTCCAGATTTTGGCTATTGTGAACAGTGCATCAATGAACATAGAAGTGCAGATGTCATTTCGACTGTACTTTTTTGCCTCTCCAGGATATATTCCCAGAAGTGGTATTGCTGGGTCAAATAGGAGCTCAATTTCTAATTTTTTGAGAATCGTCCATACTGTTTTCCAAAAGGGCTGAACCAGTCGGCATTCCCACAAGCAGTGAAGGAGGGTCCCTTTCTCCACACATCCGTGCCAACCCCGGTTGCTTTTATTCTTTTGGATGTGGGCCAGTCTCTGTGGTGTGAGATGATACCTCATTGTTGTTTTGATCTGTAACTCCCTGATGATTAGTGATGTGGAGCATTTCCTCATGTGCCTTTTTGCCATTCAGATTTCTTCTTTGAGAAAGTTTCTTTTCATTTCATCACCCCATTTTTCCCTTTATTTTATTTTTTTTTTTAAGTTTTAGATTTACAATTTTTTGTGCTTTGGTTTCAATTATACAATAATCAGATACCCATCCCTCCACCAGTGCCCATTTTCCACCACCATGGATAATATCCCTCCCACCCCCATCCCCCCCATCCCCCCTGTCTCTATGGCAGGGCAATCCCCTGTGTTCTCTCTCTCCTTTTGGGTGTTGTGGTCTGCAAAAGAGGCATTGAGTGGCAAACATGTTCAGTCCATAGTCTACTTTCGACATGCATCTCCCCTCCTGGGAGGATCCTCCAAACATCCTTTATTTGGTGCTCCCTTCTCTATCTGAACTGCCCTTTCCTCTAGGATATCCGGCTGGCCTCTAAGTTATGGAGTAATCCTCCTGGTGCTGATCTCAGCTATTCTTGGGTATTAATCTCATACTTTGTTACTTTATATCCCCCAGATGAATGCAATCTTTCTATGTCTATCCCTCTCTTTCTGACTCATTTCGCTTAGGATGATACTTTCCATGTAGTACCACTTGTATGTAAATTTCATGACTTCATCTTTTCTAACAGCTACATAGTACTCCATTGTGTAGATGTACCAAAGTTTCTTTAACCAGTCATCTGTTCTTGGGCATTCAGGTTTCTTCCAGTTTCTGGCTATTGTAAAGAGTCATCACCCCATTTTTTGATGGGGTTGGATGTTTTCTTCTTGTGAAGTTCAACCAGTGCTTTGTATATCTTTGATATCAACCCCTTATCAAATGGGTATTGGGTGAATATCCTTTCCCATTCTGTAGACTGTCTTTGTATTTTGGTCACTATTTCTTTTGAGGTGCAGAAGCTTCTTAGTTTAAGAAAGTCCCATTTGTCTATCTCTGTTTTCACTTGCTTGGCCAGTGGCATGTCATCTTTGAAGATACAGTTAGTATCTTCAATGTCGTGGAGGGTTTTGCCAACCTTGTCTTCAATGAACCTTATAGATTCTGGTCTGATGTTGAGGTCTTTAATCCATTTTAATCTTACTTTTGTACATGGTGTTAGGTAGAGATCTGAGCCCATTTTTATGCATGTAGCTATCCAGTTTTGCCAGCACAATTTGTTAAAGAGGCTTTCCTTGCTTCACTTCACATTTCTTGCTCCCTTCTCAAAGATCAGCTGATCATATGATTGAGGGGAGATGTCAGTATATTCAACCCTGTTCCAGTGGTCTATGGTTCTGCCTTTGTTCCAGTACCATGCTGTTTGAACCATTACTGCTTTGTAGTAGAGTTTGAGGTTGGGGAGGCTGATTCTTTCCATTTTCTTTTTTCCAATAACTGCTTTAGCTATTCGTGGGAGCTTTTTGTTCTATATGAATTTCAGGAGTGTTTGCTCTCCCATGATATTTTTTAAGGACATGTACCAGATGCTGTTAAAATGTATTTGGAGTAATGAAAATCCCAGAACAGCCAAAATGATCCTGGGCAAAAAAGAGAATTGGAGGCTTTTCTTTTCCCAATTTTAAATTGGAGTATAAAGCAACAGAAAGAAGACTGTATAGTACTGAGATGAAGACATAGTCTCAGAATGATAGAATATAATTGAAAGCCCAGAGACAGACCTTCAGGTGTTTGGACTAAATCTTTTTTTTTTTTTTTGCTTTTTAGGTCACACCCAGCCGATACTCAGGGGTTACTCCTGGCTCTGCACTCAGGAATCACTCCTGGTGGTGCTGGTGCTTGGGAGACCATATGGGATGCTGGGAATCGAACCTGGGTCAGCTGCATGCAAGCAAACGCCTTACCAGCTGTGCTATTGCTCCAGCCCCTGGACTAAATCTTTAACAAAGGATTTAGGTGTAAGAAGTGAGCAAGAAAGACTCTTCAACAGTTAGTATTGAGAAAACTTCTTAACACATGCAAATAAAACAGCAAAACAAAGTAACTTAGAACCTGTACACAAAATGGATTAAGGACCTTGATATTAGACCTGTGCTCATAACTATATCAAGCAAAACATAGGCAGAACTCATATGCTATTGACTCTAAATACATCTTCAATGACTTAATGTCTTTAGTCAAATGAAACGATATCAAACTAAGAAGCTTCAAACTGAAACATAAATGACTAAGAAGACACCAATAGAGTGAGAGAAAATATCTACTCACTACATATGTGGCAAAGGGCTAATATGTATATATATGTATATATATGTATATATACTTATATATAACTTGTAAAACTTAATATATATGTATACATATAACTTGTAGCACTTAAATTTTCTTTTAATGGGGAGACTAGTTGAACAGACATTTCTGCAAAGAAGGCATATAGATGACTAACAGCTAAAGGTAAGGTAAAGGCCCTCCCATTGTTCATCGATTTGCTCGAGTGGGCCCAGTAACATCTCCACTGGAGTCTTTGTTGTTACTGTGTTTGGCACGTCATGGGGAGCTTGCCAGGCTCTGCCGTGCGGGCGAGATACTCTCGGTAGCTTGCTGGGCTCTCCGAGAGGGGCGGAGGAATCGAACTCGGGTTGGCCATGTTGGCTGCGTGCAAGGCAAATGTCCTACCACTGTGCTATCGCTGCAGACCAATGAGGACTAACAGCTATATGAAAAAATGCTTTTCATCACTTATCACAGAAATGCAAATAAAAACAATGAGACGCCACCTGACATCAGTGAGATTGGTACATATCAAAATGAACTGGAACAACTAGTGCTGGCAGTTGGAAAGGAAACAAGGTAATCCTCATTGGTTTCACCTCTATGGAAAAACAGTATGGAGACTTCTTAAAAAAAATAAGAATTGAGCACCCAAATGATGTAGTAATTCCACTTCTTGGAATCTTCCCCAAGAGCCCAAAACTGATATTAAAACAAGCAAACAAACAAAACCTACTGGGCCCCTGCCTATGTTCCATTATTGTTTCAATAAATATTGTGAATATTTACAATATTCACAGCAGTATTCACAATAGCCAACATCAAAATACAACCCAAGTGTCCCAAAACAGATAAGAGCATATAAAGAAACTGTGGTATGTATAAACAATTATAGGAATACTATGCAGTTATAGGAAAAGAGGGAGTTCTTACAATTAGCCACTCCAAGGTTAGAACCAAACAGTATAATGCTGCGTGAAATCAGGCCAGATACACAATGATCTCTCTCATATAAGGAATATAAAAAAAAAATAGCAGTGGCCAATGGCAACAGACCCTGAGAGTGACCTATAGAACTGTCTAAGGGTGAAGGGCAGTGGCAGGGTACCTTGGGACACAGATGGCCAGATGCAGGTACCCTGGTGGGTAGGTAGGTTTGGTGTTGGAACATTGTATGCCTGAGAACATTTTCTATCATTACTGTATATTATTAACAATAGTGTAATTTCTGTACCTAAATAATTAAAAAAAATTTACGGCGTTTCATTCCCTGGAAGTCCTAATTCAAAAAGTGTTGAATTTAGGAAGAATACTTTCCTGTTATAAAATGCATACACATTCAGTGTGAAACAGCTGGAAAATCAGAAAACTACGAAGAAAACAAAGCTGCATCATTCCATCACTATAGCTGCTATTAATGTTGTGGTGCATCTGTTTCCAATATGCCTTTAGAGATCTAATGTTTACAGCCGAGAGCTCAGGATTTTGGCGTGCTTCGTGCAATACGAGTTTCCTCCTCGTGAAAGAGTGAGCGAGCACTCACCGACGTCACAGAATCATCTTCCGAAATATTACTCTTAAAGTCTTTTTAAAAAGTAAATAAAAAATTCTGATTTCCTACTTGAGTCATCTCACTGCGGGGTTACGCATCACGGTGGTGAGGGGGGTAGGGGGGATAAGTCTAGGGGAGTGCGAGGTTCCGAGAGAGGTCCGGGACCTGACTTAGGTTCTGCAGGAATGCTGCACCGTGCGTGGCGGAGGTACAGACCGGCCCCACTTGGTCCCAGACGCGCAAGCGGCCCGGCGACTAGGAGCCAAGTGAGTGACTCCTCTTGGCCTCCAGCTCTCTCCACGTTTACGTTCCGGGCGGTGGCCGTGCGCCCCCGCGCCCTCCCCCCCCGCCCACCCGAGTTCCTACGGAGCCCGGAGGAGGAGCGCGTCCCGGGTTCCGGCCCGAGCTGGGCCGCCCGCCGCACCCCCGCCCCGCCGGAGCCCGAGCGCGCAGGCGCCGCAGCCGCAGTCCGGCTGCCGTCCGGGAGCCCGCGGGCGCGCCCGAGCCCCAATGCCAGCGCTGCCGCCGCCTCGCACCATGGGCCCGCGGCCCCGGCTGCTGGTCCCGCTGCTGCTGCTTCTGCTGCTGCTGCTCGTGGGCGTCGGCGCGCTCGGGCCCTCTGCGAGCGCCCCGGGCGTGCGCAAGCGAGGCCCCTCGGTGACGGCCAAGGTGACCGAGCAGTGGGCCGGGGGTGCTTGGGGGGACCAGGGCTTCTGGTGTTAGGAGCGAAGGGCCGGGAGCTGCCCGGGACGCCAGGGGCGGGAGGCGGCCCCGGGGCGAGGCTGCCCAAGCGGGCTGGAAGTGTGGGGGAAGCACCCCTAAGAATCGGGGGCGGGGAGCGCTGCGCTCAGCCCCTTACCCGGCTTGCCGCTGTTTGCACTTGAAGTATCCGGGTCGGCGTGGGCCCCCCTTTATCCCCCATCACTCCCCCAGCCTGGGATCGTGAGACGCTCCCGGAGGCGGCGGGCCCTTTCCCCCGGGAGGAGCCGTCAGCGCACTTCCTTCCGCGTGGCGGCCTAGGAGCGGGGCCAGGAAGAACGCGAGGAGCGGAGGGGCACCGGGACTTGCCGCGGGGCAGCGCCCGGAGCCCGGGGTGCGGCAGGGCGGATGCCAGGCGGCCCGGTGGAGCGCCAAGGTGCAGCCCAGACTCGGGGTTCGCGCTGGCCCGGAGCGCGCGTGCCCCCTTCAGCTTTACAGCCTCGAGAGGCAGAGGTGCTCCTCAAGGGCTAGGGGGCGGGGAGAGGGGCACCGCCGAGCCCGGGATGGTGCCAGCGCCGAGCCCGTGACACCAGTTTCTAAGAGAAGTCTGCCTTTTGGTCCCCGTTGGGGATGGAATTCAGCATGTCGTGGGTTGAGCCTTTCCAATCGGTTCAGTTCTTTCTGTGGCCAGTGTCTCTCTCGAGTTGGAAGATTACTGGAGTCTGCGGGCGGGGGCGGGGGGGTGACATAGGGATGGATGGGGGCGATGGTTTGGTGCCCGGAGCCGCGGTAATCAGGCCTTGGAATCTGAAAGGTGCGGGGCACCTTAATAATCAGCCTAGAGTCTGCCTGTGGAAATGAATACTGTTGCACCAGAAATGATACTGTTGCTCGAGGAAAAAAACTCCAGCCTCTATCACAGGCTCCGTTCAAGTGTTGGGGGCCTGGGGGTTGGGTGGGAGCACAGTGGGGTAGGGGTGAGTGGGTCCATCTCTCCTGTAGCCCAAGTGTGTAGAGGAAGGTCAGGCCATGCGGGTTGGAGGTGCAGATTCCTGCAGGCAGCTATATCAGTGGGGCATGTGTCATTTGGGGAGATGGTTTGCCCAGGCCACGGGGCCAAAAGGGGCTCTCAAGGGTGGAGATGGGCTAGGATGGTCTTGCAATCTGCAGTGTTTTTAAGGTCTCTTGGAATAGTCATAAATATAAAATTCTGAAAGGAAGGAATTAGGTATAGATTGAATGGCATTAAAGATCTCCCAGAGGATTAAAATAACAATCCCATCAACCAGCCAGGCAAAGACAGTCTGCATGTAAAAATCCCTGAGGAGGACCAAGGGCCAGCCTGAGAGGAGGCTCAAGAGGGAAGCCACGTGGGGTTCGGGTGAGTGGGGGGTGGGAGCCATTATTGGCCTTTTATCAGTGGAGAGTGGTCCGGGGCCAGCCTGGGGCTTGTGGAGACCCTTAAGTCACCTCTGGTCATTGGGGGAATGATTCAGGGTGCGTGGTGGTGACTTGAGTGAGGATAATAGCTGGAAGTGGGGACAGTGGAAGGCCCTGATGTGGATATTGGAGGTGGAACTAACAGCACTTGCAGGTTTAGACAAGAGGTCGGGAAAGGGGACAGGATCACTGTACGAGACCTGAACAGCTCGCTGGACAGGGAGTTCAGGTAAAACGATCTTGTTTCTGGGTGCCGGTGCTCTGCCATATTTAGGAGAGGTTATACCTGGAAAGCTATTAGACACCTCCTCCCTCCCCCCCAACCCCCCAATACACAGGCCCTCTCAGAGCCATAGCTTTGCAGAGTGAGCTGGGTTGGGAGCCTGCAGGAAAGCGAGAGGCAGGACATCATCTGAACCCTGGTCTTAGGGGCTGTCACTGAGGGAGAGGGTTTCTGTTTCCAAACTGATGTTTAAAACGTTTTTGGAGCTTTGCTGAGAGCAACTCAAGCTCAGTGCTCAGGGGTTGCTCCCAGCACTGCTCAGAGGACCATACAGTCAAACCCAGGCCTCCTGCCTGCAATCCTGTGTAGTAGGTTTTTCAGCCATTTGCCTACCATCGGGTTTCCTTTATTTTATGGGGGTTGAGAAGAGAGTGCTGCGAGAGGCATGGGGTGCCAGGGATGGAACTCAGGGTATCACATATGTAAGGCCTGTCCTCTGCCACTTGAGCTATTATCTCCCCTGATCCCATACAGCCCATTTTAACACCACCACCAAAATATCTCATTATGGTGACAGACTGAACTCTGCTGAGTTACTTTTTCAAACTAAACCTACAGGAAAATGAAGCCATTAGAAATGATTTCAGAGTGTGGGCAGGTCAGCTAATTGGTCTGCACTCTGGGGGATGGTCCTCAGCAGACTCTACTTCTGATTTCACTGATGCAAAAGGAGCCTTTAAGTAAGAGGTGTGGTGGGGACACTTACAGATCTGTGTCAGGGCCCAAACCTTGTCCACAAATCCTTGCTCAGCTTCCTACCCAGGAACCCCTGTTTCCTCTGCTCCAATCCCTTCACCCCCTACCCCTCACCCTGGCTCATAGGTGCCAAATTCCTGGCAGAGCACATTGTGGAGTGCAAAGAATCCCTAGAACCCACTGAACTCAGAGCTGGTGGCCACCACTAGAGTGGCCAACAGGTCACCCACTGTCAAGGTTCACCTCACATGCTCTGGAAAGGAGAATGCCACCAGCCTGTCAGATGTACCCAGAGACCTCTCCCACTCCTGCTGCCCACAGTGAGATGTTTCCCCCTTCGGCCCACCTCTGCTCCACCAGTGTAGCTACACCTGCATGCCCCGAACATCCGAGCATCCTGTTCTTGCTCTCCTGTCATCCTCGTCTTCCTGCCAGACCTGGATCTTTTTCCACTCTTGGGAACTGGCCGTGGGCAGAAAGGCTGCCTTGTGGCCATTCATGCTGTCTCTATGCATCGACCTTGTTTTCTGGCCTGGACCTCTGCCAGGCAGGGCTGGTGGCCAGTCTGGTCCCAGAGTAGGGCTGCCTGTCCCCACACCTTCTCCGGGTGCCTTCTCTGTGTCATTGACATGTCTGGGGGGGGGGGGAGAGGGGGGTAGCGCTAGGCAATGCCACAGGTTGTCTGGGGCTCTGGTTATTTTTTTACTTGTCCTGACTGGATTGAAGTACTTTGGGCGAGGGACATTCTCTGGGCCTATGTGCCACCTTGCTCTGGGATTTCAAAGAGTGAGGTTTGGGTCCCATCTAGCTGTGTGCAGGGAACCAGGCTGTGGCAGGAACTGCACCCAGGCCTTCCAGGCAACAACGTTTGTTCTCCAGACCACTGAGCTCTCTCTCCAGCCCAGCAGTAGGGTGTTTGCCTTGCACACAGCCAACATGGCCGACCCGAGTTCGATTCCTCCGCCCCTCTTGGAGAGCCTGGCAAGCTACCGAGAGTATCTCGCCTGCACAGCAGAGTCTGGCAAGCTTCCCATGACGTATTCGATATGCCAAACACAGTAACAACAAAGTCTCCAATGGAGACGTTACTGGGCCCGCTCGAGCAAATTGATGAACAACGGGAGGGCCTTTACCTTTATTTTTTAATTAAGGTTTTTTTTTTTTTTTCAAATCAAGGAGGCCCAGGTTCCATCCCTGGCATCACATGGTCCTTCTGGATATGCCCCCAAACCAATTCTCCACCCCCCAAAATAGATTGTTGATCACTGTTGACTAAGATTTGATGCTACAGTTTCCATGAAAGAGGGGAACTGCCGTATTTTCTTCCTCTTCTTTGTGGTGCTGACAGAAGGAGGGGGTGGAGCCCAAGGTCCCATACCTACAGAGCCTGTGCTAGACCACTGAGCTATGTTTCTGGCGCCTTGACTCATGAATGAAACTGAAAGACATTACAGGGAGGGAGGGAGGGAGGGGGGGGAGAGACAGAGAGAGAGTGAGAGAGAATGTGTGTTATCATGTTCCTACAAGCATCAGACTGTAAAAAAATCAGCTCTGAGGAAAAGCTGTGGTGGACAGACATGCACCCTCGACTATTTCCTGCTGTTCCCCCACTGTACTCTTTCTGCTTTCAAAGTGTCTGCAGGTGGCCCTCTCCTCTCTGAGTCTGGAGTGGCTTTTCTAGGGTTTCCTCTGGTCTTTCTGTAAGATGATGATGTCTCTCCCCATACTTTCCAGGGGGCTGCATCTTTATTGCAAGGATTCCAGGCGCTTGGTCATGGCTATGGAGAAAGCACCTTTCCTTGCCGCCCTGCTTCCAGACACAGAGCCAGGGGACCCCCAGGAAAGCTCTCTTTGGGGTGCTGCCTCCTCCCCAGCGTCTTGTCCTTTAGGCCGCCCATCAAGTTCTGCTCCATAAACAATAATACAATTTTTGCTGCTTTGGTCATGTAAAAATGGGAAAATGCCACCCGGAACACTAAATATCACATCATCCAGTGACAGACGGGTTGATGTATTGGCAGCAGCTCTTGTCTTGAGCTTGAGTTTGACAGTCTTTACTTCGTGATTTTTCTAAACTGTAAGACGTCTTTTTTCCTTGACAACCCTTCTTCTATATTTTAAAGCCATCTCATGAATGTCTCTCTCTCTCTCTCTCTCTCTCTCTTTTTTACCCATTCAAACAGTAAATTGGTTCATATAATCTAAACTCACTAATAGATGGCCCTTCGACTCCGTGGCCTTTTCAAAAGTGTTCTGCCTTGGGAGCCCCTTAACGCAGTGATTTGTGAAGCAAAATGTATTTAATTTCATTTTAGATGAAACAGAAAGGGAGAGGGAGGCGGGGGAAATGTCCAAGAGAACTCGTAAAGATTAGAGGTGACGCCCACGCTTGCCTGGATATATTTTCTCTCTGCTGCTTAAAAATGCTGCAGTGGAGGAAAAACAGGCCCCACAGTGTGGCTCAGGGAGCCAGGGCATGGGAAGGGGAAGCAGTCCTGTCGGGCTATGCTGGGCCTGGGTCCCAGGACTGCCGACACCTCTGACTGCTCCCTGGGGATCAGCAGTGTGGAAAGTTTCCCCAAAAAGGCATTGGAAAAGCTGTCCTGTTGCCCACCTTGCTCCCTTATGGACATCTCCAGTCTAGGTTTTCTCTGCTCTAGACAAACAGGTTTCCACACAGATCTTCCTTCCAGAAGCTGGGAAACAAATTGGCCACGGACTTGGGGTGCCTGGGAGGGGAGAATCCTGGAAGGCTTCCCTGGCCATTTCGGAAGTGACTGAGTCCATCTTTTGTTCTGGGGCATAGTGGGGACTCCAGATGAAACTTGCTCTTGGGTCTTAACTCTCAGCAGTACTCGTCATGTGATGCTCCTTGGGCCCAGCAGTGCTGCGAGTTGTCAGGTCTACACTGGTGGTGCTTTGGGGGACCGAAGGCCAGACTTGGGGACCAGAAGCCAAACATGTCTGGCAGGCCTGCAATCCAGCACTTCACACTCGCTCCCTGTCTTCTGAGTCCGTGCTTAGACTTAGCTCAGTGCCTGAACCTTCGGTGGTACCCAAATGTGTGTGGGTCAGTGGACTGTGTGTGAGTGAAACATGCCCGCAGAATGGGGTTGGAGCCCCTTTCTTTTACTCTCTGTCCAACCATGAAATCCTGGTCTGCCCAGGTGCTGAAATGCTCAGATTTTCATTTTCACCTCCCTTGGATGTGTGGTGTCATGTTCCCTTTTCAAGTTCTAAACTTTCATTCTACTTTCAAACCACACCTAGGTCTTCTTTGATGTGAGGATTGGAGACAAAGATGTTGGCAGAATTGTGATTGGTCTCTTTGGAAAAGTGGTGCCCAAGACTGTGGAAAATTTTGTTGCCCTGGCCACAGGAGAGGTATGCTCCATTTGCTTTTCTCCTCAAGAAGATCTACAGCCAAAGTCAGATTCTTTTCTATTTAAGCCAGGGGTGGGAAACATCTGTGGGCTGTGGGCTGTAGAACGCCCAAGAAATCCTGGGGTCTGTCCCTGTCACATGACAGGACAGACATGGATGATTCTCATCAGCCATTTGAGGTCTATCTGCCTGTACCCTATGGCCCACGGATGATATTCTACACATCCAAACAGCTCTTGGCAGAAAATGGGACCTTGCCATTGCATGGCAGAAGGGAGGTTTCTGGGAAAATACGTATTAAATCAATTGGCTGAATAAACCTGTAATATCTTCAGGTTTTTTTTTATAGCCTTTGCCCATAAAATCTGGATTCATCAGGCTCTCAGGATCCTTACACTTCTAAGGAAGCTTTCTGAGAGAAAACTATCTTGCTTGCTTTCTCAGTTATTGAATAGGTTCCTCCCATAGTTTATTTGTTAACTTAATTTTTGATTGCTGTTTCTTGGTCACACCCACCAACTGGCCCCCTGGCACCGTGTAATCCCATCAACGGCCAAGATTCAGAGACTATAAAAACCAGCTCCCAGAACCGCGTGTCCGCATTAGCAGCCGCACAACATCCTATTATGACATCTTATTATCTCATTCCTACTTTGGACAAACTGGCAGGCTACCGAATGTAGCCTACCCACACGGCAGAGTCTGGCAAAGTCCCTGTAGCGTACCCAATATGCCAAATACCAGTAACAGTGATGGGTCTCATTCTCCTAAAGAGCCTTGAATATAATCTCAGGGCTAGGATGGAGGAGACGTTACTGGGGCCTGCTCGAGGCAATCGACGAATAACAGGATGATTTGTGATTTGTGTTTCTCAGTAAACCATTCAGGAACTGAGCAGAGTCCTAGAGTTTCTGTAGCTTCCTCATTTTGTTATTTCTGGAGAAATACTGGGGTTTATCTTTCAGGAGGGGTTATGTATACTTGTGTATTCAGCCACCATAATCTCTTTAGAAAGGGTATGGATATAAAGGAAGCACATTTCATCGTGTCATCAAAGACTTCATGATTCAAGGCGGAGATTTCACCAGCGGGGATGGCACTGGTGGTAATGTAGTCTTTTTGTCTTTTCCCTTCCCTGCTTACCTGACTAAAAGTAGAGATGAAGCCCATCTTTCCACCCTAATTGTTGGACACCATGATTTTAGGAACAGAGTCGTAAAATCCCAGTTGTAGCACTGGGTGTGCCCTACTGCCCTCATCCCCAAACCTCAGTGTGCCCTGACATCACTGCACTGAGAATTCCAGCTAGCTATAGGAAAGATTATGGTATTAAGGACTGGAGAGATGATTCTGTGGGCCATGCACTGGCTTTTCATGTAGCTTATCCATTTTTGATCCCTGGAATTACAGAACGCTTCCAGGGGTCACTCCTGAGTACAGAGCCAGAAATAGCCCCTGAGCACCTCGGGGTGTGGATCCAAGCCCTTTCCCTCAAAATACCACTGCTTTCGAGGCAGAAGTTTCACCAGTTGTGGACCAGCTTGGACCCTGACTAAAGGTGACTTGACACAACAGCCAAGCAGGTGGCTGAGCCACAGTCCCTCTGGCTTGATGAACTCCTCCTGCACTCCAGTTCCTTCTTTTTTCAGAGTCAAACTATTGACCCCCCCCCCCCAAGGTTAGGGTTGTGCCCTAGGTGTGAGGCCAGTGGGATTGCCATCATGCATGATGTGTTGTATTTAAGGTTTCTGGCCATGGGTGTGTTCTAGTCCCTAGGCCCTGCTTCTCCTTCCCTAGATAAAGCCCTGTTCTCCTTCCCTTCCTGATGCAGGGTTTCTAGACCACTGCCCCTAAAATCTTATGTTTCTTCTGTTAGAATTCACATAGTCACAGGATACTTGTTGATTGCCCCTCCTATTTTTCCTCCACCTGTCTCACCAGGAATAAGCATTTATGGGGAGACATTCCCTGATGAGAACTTCAAGCTGAAGCACTATGGCATCGGGTGGGTGAGCATGGCTAATGCAGGGCCTGACACCAATGGCTCCCAGTTCTTTATCACCTTGACCAAGCCCACCTGGCTGGATGGCAAACACGTCGTCTTTGGGAAAGTGATCGATGGAATGGTAACTTGCTCTCTCATTTTGTTCTCATTGAAAGCTTTCTGTGCATGACGATAGCTCTTCAGAGGTTGATTTTAATCTTAGTCTGGGCCTCATGATGGACAAGCAACCCTTCAGAAGTGAACAGATTCAGCTTGGCATTTTAATGGGCAGAAGCCGGGACCCAACAGGGACAAGTTGAGGATTTAATTTCTCTTGATATAAATGCTCATAATATAAATCTTCTGACATAAATGAAAAAGTACTCAGTGTGACCCAGCAAAGCCAAGGTCCAGTGTCTGTATCCAGTGGAACAGTGTCCTGCTTCATCAAGGAGGGCAGTCCCAGTGTGTGCCACTACATGGTAAGCCTGGAGCAAGTTTTGTCCAGTAAGATAAGCCAGTCACAAAAAGACAGGGTGATTCCCCTGAGAAAGACATCTTAAGCAGGTAAACAGGAACAAAACAGAGTGTTCACTAGGGACTGTGGGACTGTTGGTAGGAGAAGACAGGGTCCAGTGGGCACAGGATTTCAGTTCTGCAAGATTGAAATGTTTTAGAGATTAGCTACACAGCCTTATGAATACAGGAAATGTTCTCTCGAAGGTGCTGAGAAAGATGGCAAGTCATGTTGGTTACTTGTACTTGGTTCCCTGGAACTACAGAACACTTCCATAATCAAGTTCATAACCAAGTACAAGTAAAACCTTGTTCATAACCAAGTACAAGTAAAATCTTTTTTTTCACAAAAAAAAAAGCAAAACAAAAACAAAAGGAATCCCAGACCAGACACAAGTCACTTTCAAAGACCTGTAGAATAGAAACAATATCTCCAAAGAGCACTCAAATGAATATACTGCTATGATTCAAATATTATCAAAATATTATCAAAAATTATCAAAGATTATCAAAGAACGCATATGGGCATCCCTTGACTATGCCCGCAGTCTAGAGATCCAACTCAGGACACATATGCTAGGTGCACGCTCTCCCACATAAGCTCTCTTCCCATCTCCTCCCCAAAATATCTATCTAAAACCCTCACTCAGTCCCCTCCTCAGCTACTGTCTGCAGTGACTCTCTCACCTCCTAAGTCGGCAACTATGGCGCTGACCCACCTCACCAGCTCAGGCCCATCCTTGACTCTTCTCTCTGACATCCAGTTCCATTTTGTTCAGATTTCTTTCATGCTTGTCATTTTTGCCTCCCTCCTGAATCCTGCAGTCAGCCCCACCAAAGGTAGGGGTCTGAGCTAGCTGTCTCAGAAACTCCTTTCTGAGCCCAGAATATGCTCAAACACAGCTATCGCATTCTACCTGGGCCTTCGCAGGTGGGAGCAGAGAGAAATAGGGCAACGCATCACTAGAGCCAGCACTTAACGTGAAGTCACAGTATAGAACATGTCTACATTCTCATGAGCACACAATTATCCAGCACTGAATCTATTCTTAAGTAATAATGAGTGCCAGCATGCTTCAAGTCTCCTAGTGAACTCTGATTGTGCCACGAGCTTAGCAACAAGCATGTGTGTGTTAAACATGTCTGGGATTCCTCCCTCCAGTCCCACTGGGCCTATTCAGATTCTACTTACCATAAATTTAGACTCGTTCATTCTTTGAGTAGTTTTGAATACAGAATTATGGTAAGCCATAGAAAAACATTGAGAAAAAGTTTAAGGGTTCCTTTTTCTGGTGTGACTTCCCTTATACCCATTAGTATGCATAGTGGGAGGCTGCTCCTTCACTTAGAAGTACAATTCTTAATATCCTACAGTCACTCCTTAGAGAAACTCATGAACACTTGAGGGGAAAACAGGCAGGTGTGTGTGTTTCAGACGATTTGAAGCACTATGCAGAATCTCTTGAATTCTATTCCTTGATCTCTCCAGAGACCATTTGGGCACTTTTGTTACTACTGAAATTTCTGGATCCCATTTCAGATGTACAGATGTATAGAATCAGAACTCTCCGAAGTGGACCCACAAATAAACATTTCAGAACTGCTGGTAAAATGTGCTCAACGTAGAGATGTTTCCATTTTAACCCTTGTGTGAGCCTTTCTAAAATGAAAGTGTCATGTCATTCAGATATATAGCTACTGATCTAGGTACTGTGTGTACACTCAAACACACTACTTAGAAACACACGTGATTACTGGAAGAATATCGTATTTTATTGATATTAGTTCAAGTTGGCCAGAAATTGGATTAATGGGGTCCATGTCCAATGCACTCAGGCAGTTGCTATTTTTGTCTTAGCTATCTTTGGAGAAGTCACCAGAAACTAATTCCTTAGTCCTTCAGCATGATTCCCACATACAAGGCTTTCAGGGTTCCCAGAAAAGGGCCTTCCAGCAGCACTGTGGATTGAGGGTCCACAATCAGGCTCAGCCTGCAGATGAAGAGCTTGGGTCAGCTTTCAAATGGTCAGACTCACCACCACATCCACCTTTAAGTCTGTTTTCTAGCCCATTTCATTAAGACCTACTACCTACGGGTGGGGCAGAAAATCAGCTCCAACTCTGTGGATTCTTAGGCTGGGATGTATTAAGTGAATGTCAACACTTTTTTTCACTTTTTTTTTTCTTTTTGGGTCACACCGGGCGATGCACAGGGGTTATTCCTGGCTCTGCACTCAGGAATTACTCCTGGTGGTGCTTGGGGGACCATATAGGATGCTAGGAATCGAACCCAGGTCGGCCACACTCAAGGCAGATGCTCTACCCACTATTCTATTACTCCAGCCCCAACACTTTTCACTCGTTATTAGGTACTTGGAAAACTACTTGAATTCTTTTATGCATAAAACACTGATCAAGTATGAGGAAATATATATGCACATGTTGACTAGCAAGGAACTGGGGAAAATTTCATGCTGCCATATATAAATTTCTGGAATATTCCCCAGCTTGCCTGCATAGTGTTTTTATTCAGAAGGAAAAGGCACTCACCTACTTATCCTAGGGTTTTGGAAATTACCTTCAGAAGTGACTACAGGTGGAACTTTTCTCTCCCCAGACAGTGGTCCACTCCATAGAACTTCAGGCAACCGATGGGCACGACCGTCCACTCACTGACTGCACCATCGTCAACAGTGGCAAGATCGACGTGAAGACACCCTTTGTGGTTGAGATCCCTGAGTGAGGACACTGGAGCACCAGATGGCACTCAGGCCAGGGCACGTGCATGGGACGACCCTTCTGAGCTGCTTTGTTTTAACTTTCTCCTCTGCTCCAGCTCAGATCACAGGAAAGTTCTCAGCATCAGTGGCTCAAGGTTTAGTCTGCCTCATTTCTGGGTAAATCACTTCAGGTTTAGGGATGTGGAACTTACAAGACATTTTCCTTCCCTGCAATGGTGCTATTTTTATAGTGTGTATAACCAGTCAACTCTCTTTTCTCTGGGGCACACACTCTTTGTTCTCTGTATGCACAATTCTCCCTAAGCTGAGCAATGCCAGAGGTTCTGTAAGGAGGGAGACATGCAGATTACTACGGTACTCAACTTCTTTGGGCAAAAGGAGATTTGATTAGGACATAACCTGATGTCAAAGGAATCTTAACCTGATAATCAAAGGTGCTTTGGTGTTCCTGATAATAAATACTTTTTATTCAAATCAACTCCTTTAGCAGGACTGCTGTATTCCTTTTCTGTTAAAGCACCAAAGTAATCTCTGTGCTCTACTGATAACAGATTAGATAAGTGTCAGTAAGTCAAAAGAGCATCACACCCTGATAGCTCGGGATGGGATGGGACAGAAATCACGCCCATCCCATCTCAAATATTTGAGCAGAGAAAGTTCCACAGAGCCCATTTCCCACAAAGAGGAATGTTTTGTTTTCTTCACTTATACCTTTGGTACCTTTGGGATGGAGGTTCAGTCTAAATTCACATAAGATGAGTAGAAGGGGGACCTTGTGGTACCCAAAAGGGCTGAGCTCTGGGCTTATGGATCAAGTTGGAGATGGTCCCCCTTTCTTCTCCAGGACGCTGTGATCCATGATCTCCATATGAAACACTCTCCCTTCTGAGCTCTCTTGAGGCTTCCTTGGCAGGAGGAGAAAGGCTCACCCAGCGCTGGCTTCTGCCCTCACAACTCTCGTGGAGAGGAAAGCATCCATTTCTCTCTGACAAAAATGTGTTTAAGGTCTCAAAAGTGCCTGATTCCAGATGGCTTGAAGGGCAGCTATATGAGCTTCAACTGTTTGGTGGTGTTTGGGGCAAAGGTGAGAAAGGTGCCAGTGCTGTCAAAAGAAGCTCCATATCTACCGGAGAGGCTGGAAGGGCAGGAGTATGGAGAAGGGAGTGGAATGGCATTCTGTGGAATGGCATTCTGGCTCTCTGAGCGTGGAGGGGTAAGGAGGCCCATATGGGCCTGTCTGGCCAAGGAAAGAAGTTCAAGGCCCTAAGGTGAGCATAAATGGGTCCTGGGTCAGGAAAGAAAGATGGGAGCCAGAGAAGTGAGGGCATTTGTACCCAGCAAGCACCTGACTTTGGTTTTGGTTCCAGCACCCAATGATGCCTAAAACATAGCTGGTGCAGACTTGGAGGCCTCCTACACCTCAGGGGAGGCCCAAGATATCCCTAGTACCAGATCCCAGGCAGCATCAAACCCTCAGGCCTCCGCCTGGTTGGCTAAGAACCACTGGTTGGGCACCTGATGTGTGGAGCACTGCTTGGGAGTCCCCCTCTGCAAAAATAAAAATAAAAGCAGGCCAGTAGAATGTGCAGAGAGGCCAGGGAGGGGAGGCTGAGAGGGACCACATCAAGTCCTGAAGCCAGAGCTAAGGGCTCTGGTCTCAGACCCACCAGGAGGACTTGCTTCAAGTTGGGGACAGGCAGGACACACTCTGCCTTTAAGAAAGAGGACTGCAGTCTTTCTATGTCTGTCCCTCTCTTTCTGACTCATTTCACTTAGCATGATACTTTCCATGTAGAACCACTTGTTTATAAATTCCATGGCTTCGTCCTTTCTAACAGTTGCATAATATTCCATTGTGTAGATGTACCAAAGTTTCTTTAACCAGTCATCTATTCTTGGGCACTCGTGTTTTTTCCAGATTTTGGCTATTGTTAACAGTGCAGCAATGAACATACAGGTGCAGATGTCATTTCGACTATACTTTTTTGCCTCTCCAGGATATATTCGTAGGAGTGGGTTTGCTGGGTCAAATGGGAGCTCAATTTCTAAGTTTATGAGAATCGTCCATGCTCTTTTTCCAAAAGGGCTAAACCAGTTGTCATTCCCACCAGAAGTGAAGGAGGGTCCCTTTCTCCCCACATCCACGCCAACCACGGTTGCTTTTGTTCTTTTTGATGTGGGCCAGTCTCTGTGGTGTGAGATGATATCTCATTGTTGTTTTGCTCTGCATCTCCTTGGTGATTAGTGATGTAGAGCATTTCCTCATGTGCCTTTTAGCCATTCAGATATCTTCTTTGAGAAATTTTCTGTTCATTTCATCACCCCATTTTTTGATGGACTTGGATGTTTACTTCTTGTGGAGTTCAACCAGTGCTTTGTATATCCTTGATATCAACCTCTTATCGGATGAGTATTGGGTGAATATCCAGGAATATAAAGTAACAGAAGGGGAGACGAACACCCAGGAATAGTCAAGATAAGTACAGGAGGTTGGCTCCACGGTTTGGAAGCCGGCAGCACATGCTGGGGGAAAGGCAGCTCAGATAGAGAAGGGAACACCAAGTAAAGGGCGTTTGGAGGATTTGCTCAGGATGCGAGATGCATGCTGAAAGTAGACTGTAGACCGAACACAATGGCCATTCAATACCTCTATTGCAAAACACAACACCCTAAAGGAAAGAGCAAAAGGGAATGCCCTGCCACAAAGGCGGGGTGGGGTGGGAGGGCTACTGGGTTCATTGGTGGTGAATGGGCAGTGGTAGAGGGATGGGTACTCAACCATTGTATAATTGAAACCCAAGAATGAAAGTTTGTAAATCTACAACTGTACCTCAAGGTGTTTCACTAATAAAAATTTCTTTTTTAAAAAGGTGGGGGGGGTGGGAGAAGAGGACTGTGCTCTGAGAATTCTCCTGGGGTGCTCAAGTGCATATTGAGCAATTGTGCTGCCTCCTAGTCAGATACACAAGAGACTATGTGTAACTGCTGCAGCCATGAAGCTTGTTGCTTCCCTCTCATCCCCCAGGAAAAGGTGAAAGCACACACCTCTGAACAGCGCCCGGAGAGAGGAAACTAGATGGAAATGGCCAGTGCCCCTGCACGGACCCACCACTGGACATGTCCCCTCATTTTAACTCTTAAAATTCACACTCACAGTGAGACTATATGCTCCTAAGACATGGGCCCCATAAAGCATGTTATGTAGCTTGAGTCTAAGTCTTCATAACTGGGCAGGGTGATCCTAGCATCCAGCATAGTTTTCATTTGACTCCACCAGTGCTCTTGGCTACATATGTGTTCTTTTAGCAGCATAGCTAGCAAGGTCGTGAACAGCCTCTCTCTAAAGCTTTTGCAGAAAGCTTGGGAGTTTCATGAATCAGTAGTTTATAACCACCAGCGTGCTGAAAGTTTCAGGTAAGACCCCAGGAAAAGGTGACCCTTGGCATTGTTAGCCTGACACCACCCGTGTAGGGGTGTTCTCTGAGCTCCAGCATGTCTAAATGCACCACTTCTCTGCCATTCCTGGAGTGACTCTATGCTCATAATAATGAAAGCCTGAGATCCTGTATGTGTTGGCAAGCAATGTTCGCAGGGGACATGGGTGCTGATGTGTTTGCAGCAAAGGCCCCATCTGTGCATGAAGTCTTTTGTCTCCCTTTTCCTCGGCATTACCTCTAGAGAAGATTCTGAGTTTTCCTTTACTCTAATTGTTACCAAGAAATGTGCCCCCCCCCCCACCCGGAAAGGACTTTCCCACCTAGGCCTCTTTAAAAACTGTTCCTAAAGCTGGAGAAATGGCTCAACAGGCTGAACAGCTGCTGGCATGCAGGAGGCCAGGTCGCTGCATATGACCCCTGAGCACTTCCAGGAGTGACCCCGAGCACAAAACTGGAACCAGCCCCTAAGCACCACCAGGTGTGGCCTCTAACCTAGGTAACAACAACAAAATGACTCCCTAGTCACCCTCACCCCTGAACTGTGCTGTCACCCATGTGACAAGTGTCCAGGCAATACATGCCCGAGTCTCTCCTTGGCTTGTGTCTGTTTCTCTTTTGCTGAGAGCAGTGATCCCTGGGCCTGTAACACTCCTCCAGAGTCCTCTTCCTGGGACTCCACTTCAGAAAGTGATGTGGAAATATCATGGCCGTCACTGTCCTGGCTCCTCCAGCACCAGTCCCCTTGCTCTGGGAATGGCCGCCTACTTCTCTTAGGGACTCAGAACACGCCTTGGGGAGTTCTTGAATTTAGGCTGGGGATGACCTCCCAATGGAGGCACCTATCAGGCCTGGCAATCTCATTCATTAACTCACCTAATAGCCAGTGCTGGGAAGAGATGGAAACACAATCAACCTACTGAAGAGATGCCACATAAATAAGTATCAGGACATCATGATTATAGGTTTCGAAGAAAATGGTAGAGAGTGAAGAAGAAGGTGGTCAGAGGAGGGCCTTGCTGGGCACGAGGGGGTGAGAAGCCATGGAGACAGTGGGGGAAGAGTAGGGTAGGGTCACAGGAAGGAGCACAGAGGCCCTGGTCAAAGGGCAGACTGGTGGGTTCAAGAGGCAGAAAAAAATAAAACCAAAAATCCATGTGCAGAGCAAGCTGGTGGGAGAAGGAGATAGGACTGTCCTGTCTGGATCTTCTTTCACTCTTGACCCTTAATAAGCCTTGACCAGGGGCCTTGTGCTGAAGAAACTGGGGAACATCTACTGTCTTTCTTCTGGGAGGAGTAAAGGAACAGACCGAAGGAAATCAGTGCAGCAGGAGGCCAGCCAGGTGATGGGTTATTGCAGACACTGTAGGCCCCTGGGTACAGCCAGGCCTGATCTCCATCTCAAAATTTTCTCTGGGAAAGAAAATACATCTCTTTTTCACTTAGGCTGGTGTGAACTGATTCCTTATTATGCACTATACCCGCAAGTCTTTATTCAGTAACACTGGAAAACTGGTGTATATATGCAGTTGTAAACTAAGGAATTATTGACAACTGTAAAATACTGGAAATAACCGGAATGTCCCCAAATGGTTATACAGTATGCACCCTATGCTGGTATAGAAGTGTTGAGAAAGCTACTGCTGAGCTGAGAGTCACAGGAGAAAATGGTTATGTGAAGGAAAAATGGAAAAATTCCTTAGTATGCAGAATGCAATATGATCTCATCAAGGCAAATATAGTCTTATAGAGCAAAATCAGTCAAGGCACACTGCTGTATATCAATGTTTTAAAGAAAAATTTTACATTTATCATAAAAAAATTTTGTTTTAGCCTTGTCTTTCTCGGGGGGGGGGTGGGGGAGAGGGCACGCATTTCTTGGTAACAGTTAGAGTAAAGGAAAACTCAAAATCTTCTCTAGAGGTAATGCAGAGGAAAAGGGACACAAAAGACTTCATGCACAGATAGGGCCTTTGCTGCAAAACACATCAGCACCCATGTGCCCCTGCGAACATTGCTTGCCAACACATACAGGATCTCAGGC